TTGTTTTCGCTGCCCCAACTGTCGCCGCCGCCGTTGTTGTTGAAGGTATCATTGGAGTTGTCGTTGGAGTTGTCGTTGGAGTTGTCGTTAGAGTTGTCGTTGGAGTCATCATTTCCGTTGCCCCAACCCCCCCAACTGTTGTCATTGGAGTTTTCGTTGGAATTGTCGTTTCCGTTACCCCAGCCGCCACCGTTGTTGTCATTGTTGCCATCAGACCCGGCCTTGGTGCTCTCGGTGAACTGAACAGCAGGAGAGGCCGACCTGCCCTTCTTCCCTCCTTTCTTGTTCTTCCCTCCTTTGCTGTTACTTCCGCCCTGGTTGTTACCTCCGCCCTGGTTGTTACCTCTGCCCTGGTTGTTACTTCCGCCCTGGTTGTTACCTCCACCGTTGTTCCCTCCACCGCCCTTGTTGCCGCCAGAGCCAGAAGCCACATTCGGAGTTCCCTGCTGCGCCCTAGGTGTCCCCCGGCCCTGGCCCTGCCCCTGTGACGCCGAATCATTCGGCCATATCGGAGGCACAGCGTTCAACTGCCACGACCCCGGCATCTGCTGCCACTGCTGGTACCCAGCCATTCCCTGCGGAGTAAAGTTGTGAGGACCGTAAGCCCCAAGCTGCACGGGAGGCTGCATCACAGGCGGCGGAGGACCCTAGCCTCCCCACGCAGGACCGCCAGGTTGATGGGACCAGTAGGGATTCGGGCAGTCTGTGTGGATGATGTTGGTCACAGGATGCACAACACCATCCCCGGCGTAGCCATAGTTCTGGAACTGGGGGTGGATAGGAGCCGGCGGAAAGCCCGCAGGCACAGCGGGCTGCTGAGCTGGGCTGTCAAAGACTTGGACATGACCGTCTAGGTAGTAGGCGTTGCGCGGTGGTTGGACGGTGGCTGAGCGAGAGGGGACATGCTGGACGGTGGCTGATCCCTGGGCGTTGTTCGAAGACTGGTTGCCACCGTCGGGTTTCTGCTGATCAGACTTGTTCTGGTTTTGGCTGGTACCAGAGCTGTCGCCGGCAGCCTTCTTGTTGTTCTGGGGGTTATCCTGCTTGCCCCTGTCTCCCTTTTTATCGTCCTTCTTGCCCTCCTGCCTCTCGTCCTTCTTGTCCTCTTTCTTGCCCTCCTGTTTCTCGTCCTTCCTGGCATCCTTGTTCACACCCTTCTTGTCATCCTGCTTATCATCCTTTCCGTCCTTCTTTCCATCCTTCTTGCCCTTGTCATTCCCCGAAGAACCACCCTTCTTCTTCAGACAGTCTGTAAGCAGCGCCGCGGCTATCTCCTTTCTAGTTCGGGGCTTGCTCAACTCCCGGCCCAGGAGTCTCCGACCCTGAATGCAGTTCTCGCAGCCGCATGTGGCATGGGGCTCCAGATCGGGGGTGACAAAGTCGTCAGGAGCGCCCGCGTCTTGCTTCTTCGTGTTGTGCTGGCCCGACTTGTTGTCTTTTGACTTGTCCTCGGTCTTATTGTCATCAGCCTTCTTCTTGTCCTCTGCTTTCTTGTTGCCCTCGACCTTCTTCTCCGCCTCCATGGTCTTGCTGGACTCACCCTTCTCGTCAGGCTCGGGAGGGGCCAGCTTAGCCTCGGCCGGCGTCTTGCTGCTCTGAAGCGGCACCTTTGCGACAAAAGTCTCGCCCTCGCCGTCGCTGCCCGTATAGACCTCAACCTGAAATTTCGGCTTCTTGGCTGTGGTGTTGACAGGTTTCTCCGTCTCTTGAGTCTTCCTGACCTCCTTGGGTTTGGCAGAGTCAGCCTTCTTCTCCTCCTTTGACGGAGATGACCTGGGATCGCTCGGTTTGCCCTTTGTTTGTTGTTGCTTGTAAGCCTTGGAAACTGCCAACGCTATAGCCATGGCGCGCTCCTCCTCGTCTGAGTCAACGTCTGAAAAGATCTCGGAAAGTCGCTTGGTCGTGGCCGCCTCGATCTCTGCCTTCCTCTTGGCCTCCTCTTCTTTCGCTTTCTCTTTGGCCACCTTCCTGTCTTGAGCAGCGTGAACCGTAGCAATTGTTCTAGCCTCAGCTCGGGCAATGGCAACACTAGCCTTTTTAAGTGCGGCGGCAGCGGCAGCAGTAGCCTCGATGTCGACGGAAGCCGTCTCGGCTTGGGCAGCTTGGGCGGCTCTTGCTTTGTGACAACTCTTGTGCTCTCGAGGATGACGGGACTCGCCATGCTCGCGGTGCTCGTGGTGCTCGTGGTGCTCACTGACTCGATGCCTGGTGGGCGGCTGAGCAGTAGTCGAACCTTGTCGATCGTAGTATCTGTCTCGGGATGGGGACCGATGCCTAGAGGGGGGCCGGGGTCTAGAATCGCGGCGCCTGGAATCTCTGCCTCTGTACTCTTTCTCCTCTGATCTCCGTCTCTCCGGCTCGGGTGTTGTCAGTCTCTCCTTTTCGGTGCGAGTGAGATTGCGGCCCATAATCCACTCCATCATGGTATTGGGAGGCATGGCTGCGGTCAGCGAGTCGCAGCGAGCAGTGCGACTTTGGTGATGTTGGAGACAAAAGGAAAAGTCAAAAAACGACTATCAATCTCCTGAAGTGATAGTGACGGAACGGAAACAGACTGGTAGCGGTGTTGAAGGGCGAAGAACAAGGAAAGAATCGAGAAGGAGCCTCTCGATCCGAGCGGGTGTTTGGAGAAAAGGAAACAAGTCGGGGAGGGGCCAACGGCCCTGAGTGAAGAGGAGAGAACGACGAGAGGGGAAATACTTGGCCTGGTGTCGAACAGTAACCAGAGATGAAAGTAGCCGCAGAAAGCAATTTGCTGTGAAGGAGAGTATGCGCTGAAAACTGTAGTCGCAAGGTAGGAAGAAGCTTTGTATTTGCAGGAAGAATTGGCTATTACAGCAAAGTCGGTGGTGGGGGGTGGAAGGGAGATTTTTGCAAGAAAGGCGGGTCTCGTTGCTGGAAATTCACTTGAGATGGAAAGGTAAGGGAGCAAGTCGAGTGTTTGAGGAAGTCGCTCAGAAGGTCGTGGGTCTGCCCGTAGTTCTCATGTCGTCGACTGATGCCCTGCAGTTTGAGGCTCAATGGAGATGCCCCATGGCCCGTGTCAGTCGACATCTGCCATTGAGATTCCCGTCGAGTCTCTCTCACTGACTCGAAGCCTCCCATTCCTCGTCGAAACCACGCAGTTTGAGGCCCCGTTCAACTACAAGTAACCAATACAAACAAGACCTTCGAGACAAAGAGACGCAGAAAAGAAAGTAAATACATTAACCCATCAACCCTTATGTATCTCACAAGTTCAAAGCTCTCATCATGTACCGTGTTCCATAGTCCCGACTCATCTTCATCACCACCAACTACAGCTTAGCCCTCTCCCTCCTCTCCCTCTCCTCCCACTCCCTCTCCCCCCTGGAATTCCTCCACAACCCCCACCCCCCAACAACCAACGCCAACGGAGGACAAACCCACAAAACCCACCCCCACCACCTCGGGCTCCCCCTCTCCACCTCCTCCATAACCCTCCTCAACTCCCTCTTCAGATCGTCCTTATCCCCATCATTCCAAACCACCACCCCCCCACCAAAAGCCGCCCTCTCAACCTTTTTCATCACCCCCCCCTGACTCCTAACCCGATTCTCCGCATCCTCCCTGCTCAAATGCCCATCCCGCCTCATCAACCTCTCCATCTGAACCTCCTCATCCCTCACCCCAACAACCATAACCCGTCCCACATACCGATCAAGCTTACTCTCAAACAACAACGGCACATCCAACACCACCGCCCTTTTCCCTTTGACATACTCCCTCACCACAGCCCAAAACATGGCCTTCCTCACAGCAGGGTGCACAATCCCGTTCAGCACCCCCCTGTCCTTCGCCCTCTCCAGACTAGTACCGAAAACCCTCTTCCCGAGCGCAGGTCGGTTCAACGGGCGGCCTTTTCCGTTTGGTCCATTCTCCGGCATGTCCTCTGACACAGGGACGAGTAAGTCGGGTGTGCTGGGGAGGAAGTGCTTCACAATGGCATTGTAACCCGGCGTGCCCGGCTCGACGACCTGGCGGGCGATCAGGTCGGCGTCGATGATGGGGAGGTTGTAGGGTGGCTGCGATAAAAGGGAGGAAACGGTTGATTTGCCCGTGGCTATCGAGCCTGTGAGGCCTATGAGCAGCATTTTTGGCAAAGTTTCTTTCTTTAATGACTTTTGGTGAATATGAAATTGATGATAGGGGTTGTGAGATAATGGCAAGAGTTGATGAATGAGTACAAGTTTCAGTATATGTGAACTAATAAAATGGGAAGCGGGTTTCGTTAGCCAGTGCCCATGGCAATCGTATGATGATGCGGGGAGGAGGATCCTCTTCTTCCTCCAACACCTTTTTGCCGAGCTTCTCCAAGCTGCTTCCCCCGATTCAATCGACAGCTGATGAGCTCAGCCTTGGCACAAGAGGTAAAACCCGCCTTCGTCATCGCAAAACGGACAATGGCGTGCCCGGCACTAACACTTTCACCCCAATTTCCCCACCAAAACTGTTAACATCCCGCCAAGCCGGGTCAAATCTGGGGTTCGCTTTGCATGTGACATCTGTGGCGTGCTGTCGGGGACCCTTGGCCTTTTGTAGCGGCCCGCTTTCAGCCTCACAGCTCCGTTTTTGACCTCCTTCAACCTTCACATCTTCACCAGGCACTTCACGGAGCATAAAAAAAATATCATAGGAATGTATTGAGCAGTATAAAACCAGCGCAGAAACCATCCCATAAACGCCAGCGATAAAAAACCGTTGCCCATTCCCTTTAGTACCATCGCCAAACCGAAAAAGAACCCATGCCCATCCCATGATACCATTTCCATCCATCTAAAAGATGACCATCCATGAGACCCTGACGTGAACTCAATCCTGTACCATCTAGAGGAAATGATCGAACCGACTAGATTAAATAAAGGCAACGCAGCCAAAGGAGATCTGCCTCAAAGACAGCAGATTGTTCATCAAAGGCATCGCTAACAACACCAGCTCGTTAGCCAACGTGCTCCACAGTCAACACCAAAGTATACTCACCTCTAGACATCAGGAGGAGCCTCAAGACGCTTGGCATAAAACCAACCATCCCTCACATACCACTTGTGCTTGAGCCGATCAATCTGACGACGCTGATAGAGACCCCAATGGCCATCCACCTCCTCCACCCACCACTCCTTGTACGGGTCCCTGTTGGCCGGCATAAAGTCCTGAGGCTCGAAGCATCCCTCCTGCTTGGCATGCTCAATGTCAGCAGCCAATCGCTCGCTCTGAGTGAGGCCAATGCCCAAGGCAGGCTCAAAGTGGACGTGAGGAGGCTGCGCACCAGGAGTTGGGCTACCAGGGAAAGCTTGGTGGCCGTGACCGTTCGGCATCTGCATCAACGGATTCATGCCAGGCTGCATCCGAGAGTAGGCAATGCCGGCGCCGGGGAAGCTGGGCAGAATGGGACCACCTTGAGGGCCAAACATGCCCATGGCAGGCATACCAGCGCCGGGCATGGCGGGCATGGCAGGCATGGTGACGCCGGCGGGGGACGACACCACAGGTCCCTGAGGACCCATCATGTAGCCTCCTTGGAGGGCATAACCACCCATCTGGCACAAGGGAGTGTCTTGACCGGTGACCTGTGAAAAACTTGATTAGCAAGTGTCGCACAAAATCTGACTTGAAAAAGCACATCAAAGACCACTCGGTCGCCTGTTCGATGACTGAATCGAAACAAAAAGTCGGAAACTGCTGGCGTCAATTACCTGAGGAAAACCAGCAGCCAGGCCAGCGAAATAAGCCATGCTAGGGGGATCCCGACGAGGGATGTACGTCTGGGTCATAGGTCCAAACTGGGTGGAGGGCAGCTGGGGCTGAAAGTGAATCCCATTGGGGTTCAGGACAGGAGGGGCAGCCGGGAAGGCACGCATTGAGCGTAGAGGGGTGGTCGGCCTGGCGCCATTGTTGCCGTTCTGGTCATCTTGTTCCGACTTCATCTTGCTGGTAAAAGGACTCGCCTGAGGATGGGGTGGGAAATCGAGGTCGAAGCGAGCCCTTTTATGAGGAATCAAGCCGACAGCCGGGGCAGGAGCTGCTCCCATAGGTTGCCGGGCCGCACCTGTGCCCTCATCGTACCCATCTGGTTTGCGTTTGAGGCTGATAATCTCCGCCCCCAATAATTCCATTTTTCGATCCACCTGCCCGCTCTCCCCATCTCTGATGGCCATCTCCCGTTCAAAATCTTCCGCCGCGTCTTGAACCACATGTCCCAAGACTTTATATTCAAGCTTGGTCGGGAGCGCATCGGGGTTCTTGGTGAGCCCTTCAAGTCTGAGGTTCAGTATCTCGCAACCAGTAGCTAGGTGGTCAATGGTATCAGAAAGCTCGGCGAGGAGCTCATTCTGTTCTTTGATTTGGTCGGCAGAGTCGTCGTCCTTGTTCGGCCCAGAGGCGGGGCCTCCTATGGTGAGCATTTTGAATGTGTGGCGATCGCCGGTTGTGTGGGTGTTGCGCCGATACAAAAGTCGACAGGACCGCAGAAGTCGGCGATCTTTTTATCCTCAACAACAACACCCCCATTCACTTGAGCGGGTCCTCAATTGCTCCAGGAGCTCACTTGAGCTATGGCCATTGGAAATTATTGTGGGTTCAACCTGGCCATCTTCACTCACTGACTTCAGTGCTCAACTTGCTCTCCCAGCCGCCTGGAGGTGCCAGCTGGGAGCAACTAACCCTTATCAACACCGCGTACGTACCGTATCTCGAAGAACCCACATGTTTCTGGTGCGGCTCCAGTGCCAGCGGTAGCGTTGGGGATTGCTACGCTGGTTGCTCCCGCGTTCGTGGGTTGTCTTGGTGATTGGCCAGCAGGGGAGGCACATGTCGTCGAAGTGAGTTGATGGTTGGGGTTGGATCAAAATGTGAATTTTGAAGACTCTACTTGGGTACGGAGAAGAGAAAGGAGACAAATCCTCAGGACGACCTCAGATCACAAGACAGAGCACAGTGCGGAGATCAGCCAGCAAGGAAGGCACCACGGGAGCAGTCAGGTCTTGGTCACACCGGCCAGTGAGTATCGTATGTTGTCGCTGATAGCACTGTGTAGTCATCAAGCTGTTCAGAGGGCCATTTTACAGCTATTCAGATTCACAAAGGAGAGCTGGAAGACGGTCTTTTGAGTGGACTCTGGTCAACGAACAACACACGATGAGCTCTGTGGATTTTATGAATCTCTGCCTGATGCCAGATGGAAGGACTTACAACCCCTGAATTGTGTCACCTTGGCATCAGACAACCCCTTTCGATCTGGACCTCCCATATATAACAGTAGACATTTCGACTGCCTGGCACCATAACACCCAAAAATAGTCCGGCAAAATGCCACCAAGCTGATCAAAATATGCCACATACCAATTCGTCCTGTCCCTTCACCCCAGAGGGAACAAATGATTCTATATGACCACCAAAACACCGCTATTATACAATTTCCATTGGGAGGAGAGAATACCCTTGCGCTATGCATAAACCCGTCCGCCACCCTAGGTACCACCCCTGGCCGAGTTTTTCCCACATTCATCTTCGTACACATCACCATCGAGCCCTCCGTAAGCTGAATTTACATATAGCAACCGCAAGGTGGGCCGGGCACCAAGTTTCGAGGCAAGTCTGCTGCGATCTTGGGTCGATCAAAGAAGAGATTTATCGTCGGCGAAGCTCACAAGGGCTCCCGTAGATGCCATCGAGTCATCTCGTTTATTTTCGTAGGAAGTGCGATCACGATCAACATGGTCCTGCTTTAAAGGTTCTCGAGCTCCTTGTGTTGCGGTTGGCTTGTGGGGAAGAATGTGCGCCGGGTGATCTACAACACAATTAGTTCAACCTTCTTGAAGTAGAAATCGGAACGCAAGGAAGACTTACCGCCCAGAGACCAGCCACCGAGGCCACGAGACCACCCGAAATCATCATTGGCCGGAGACCCCTTGTGCTCTTGAAAATCGCGCCGCTGATGCCACCCGCCAGAATCATGTTGGCAGCATCGTGCTTCCCCCTGACGTAGCCAATGTATGAGTTGACGCAGTTGTACACAATAGCCACCACACCCGCCGAGTTGCCCAAGAAAGGTCCTCTCCTGGTGATCGAGTTGAGCACCGTGTTCAACCGCAGCTTTGGCGGCTGGTCGGCCGACCTCCTCAATCCTTCTTGTAGACCCCAAGCACCTCCTAATGTCAGACCTGCCAGGTAGGTCACACCGGTGCCGTAGCAGAGATCGTCTGTGAAGCCGCGGGATGGCAGTACCGACTGGCCACCGGGGAGGTCTGTGAGGGCAGAGTCTTCGAGGCTGAGGTAGTCGAGTGTGTCCTTGTCGATGCCAGCGAAGGCATGTAGTTGTGTTGGGTCGGCGAAAGAAGAGGTGCCGAGGAACTGCTCAACACCCTGGGCCTGGGTTGGGTCGAAGGGAGCTGGGGAGGAGGCATAGCCGGTGCTGGTGGGTGGTGACTGTGTGGTGGGTGGCGGCGCAGTCGATGAGGGGGTTTGTGACGAGGACTTCTTGCCCGTCAGGGTATCCCAGAGAGACATTTTGGCGGCGGAGGGGTAAACCGGACCGAGAGGTGACAAAGATAGAAGCCGAATTGGATGGAGCGGGTGCTGTACGACGGGGTGGGCGTCTACACGGCGGGTTCGCAAGACGGGATTTGGTGCGCTGAGGTCTGAGTGGGAGAGAGCTGCCGGGTCTGGGGGTCACGTCGGCGGCGATCGATAAGCAGTCAAAGCCAAAAAAAATTTACCGGCCATGAGGATGGCCCGTGCACTGGCTCGGGCTTGGCACCCGTGTAGAGATCTACGCAACTACCGCTGGGAGACGTAAGACAATATGTATGTTGAAGTAGGTAGAGCGAATTACGTTCTTCTATGCCTGGGGTCAACTAGATGATAATACGAATTTGAAACTTGGAGAGTCCCCTTCAACTCAGTGTTGTAAGCGTTGTAAGCTGTATTAGCTCTCCCATAATGACGGCAGCCAAGACCAAGGTGAGCAAGGTGAGGGTGCTTGTAATTCACGGTGAGCCATGACAACCCTATCCCCGTACAACACCCAAAATTTCTCCCTCTTCTGGCTGTCGCATATTCAAGTCCAGGATACACTCATTTGAGCTTATTGAGAAGGGAGCTATATGCCGGCGATTTGAGGCTCTTGCAGTTCTACAATCTTTTATTCTCACCACTTTTGTTGGGAACCCCATCATCGCACCTTCTGAGCTTTCATATTTCACTACCCCTCCTTCTTTGATAAATTTATCAAGACCCTGCCAAGCATGGAGGGGCAGACCTCAGACGGCAGCATCGATGCACTCATTTCTGGACTCGGCCCGGAAATCTTTGAAAATGCAAACACCATCTCAAAATGGCTGTTGAGTCGGCCTGAAGAAACCAGACCCCAGTATGTTCACGTACCTGTATCTCACCCACATAGGCAATTCATTTCACTAATAATTACACCCTCAACAGGCTGGCCGAGGCCCTTGTCCAGAAACTCTTCCAGGATGCCTCACAGGCTCGCCAATATCATGGAAATGGTCACGCCTGCGTCAGGCTGTGCAGCTTTGTTCAGCAATGCTTCAAGTCTAGCGACCAGACCTTGAAGAAGTGGTCCACCACAGAGGCTCTCACTTTGGAGCTCTTCCTCTTCTACTTGGAGTGGTACGAACACGATCCTCACAGAGCCCTGCGTCTGATTCTGGATGTGCTTGTAGCGGCTTGCACCAACAACCCTTGCCCCGAGACAGGACGGGCCATCCAGGGACGCGTGCTGGAAACGCTCGTCCAAATCATCACTCGAAAATATCCCAAGCAACTGACAAAATCAGGACTTCAATGTCTTGAGCATCTCCTCAGCAAGCGCGTGGTCTCATTAGACGACATAGCTTTGACCTACAAACAGGTAGAGCCAGCAGTGGCTTCTCTGCCGAGTCTTGAGCTCTGGAAATCATTCGTCTTCCATCTGTTTTCCTGGATGGAACTTACCTATGTTTGCCCTCTGGCCGGAAAATGCATCGTTCATGTTTTCCGCGGTCTAGACAGCGCTGCGGCACTGGATTCCACCACAGGGTTCGACGTTGAGTTATGGCGGCAATGGTTACAAGATGCCCTTGTTCAGAATCCAGAGATTTTGGAAGACATCAAAAACTATGTGCTGGTGGCCATCTTCAAGACCGATAAAGCTGCGGCTTTGAGACTGTTACATGTCTTCAACAAGGAGCAGCTCTCTAACAACCAGCAAGGATCCGATCAGGGTATTTTACTTCAGCTGGCTACGTTGGAGCTGGGCAAGAAGACTGGTCTGGTGGACGAGCCCGCCAGCCAGCCTGAGGAGTCAAAACACCTTGCATTGGATTCAAAAGTTTTGGGGACACTGCTTGGCCATCCCACCATTTCGGTGAGATGTAGCGCTCTGTCCCTGGTGGTCTCATCCCAGGCCACCACCAAGCCTCTTTCAGAGGATGCCTTCAGCCTGTTAAGGACATACCTGGCCGCCTTTCACGCGGATTACGATGCCAAAGTCCGTAACGAGGTCCTTGGACTCACCAAAAATCTGCTGAAGCGTGTAAAGAGCATCATCACCGTTGCTCGACGAAGTTTGGCCGATTTTGCAAACCGGGAATCCCAACTCGCCGCTGGCGGTAATGCCGAGCCACCTCTGAAGAAGAAGAAGGCGGGTCCTGAAGCTGCTCTGAGGGATGCTTCCGAAGCGAAATCCGTTCTTACATCGCACCAAAACTTCCTAGAGTGGTATGTAGGCTTTCTCAGAGACGAGCTGATACCTACGGCGTCGTACCAGCGCCATATTACTGCTGTGAAAGCTGCTCTTTTGGCCGTCAGAGTTGGAAAGCACGCCGCTGCTACAGACGATACTGTTGATGAGGATGTGATCCGATTGATCGCTAATGATCCTACCTGGACTCGTCTTCTTTTCGATCTTCTGTTGGATCCCTTCGACGACGTCCGAGAGGCTGCTTCGACACTCTTGAGTTTAATACCACAAGAACTGATAGCTAGACCTGTGGCCCAATCACGGAGATCAGAAACGCTCCTCGACATCCTTCGGAGCTTCTGTGGACGGGCTAATGCGTTGGCTGACAGAACTGGGCGAGCTGACCACGGTGATGGAGCCGCTCGGGCTCAGGGTCTTTCATGCAGCTGGCTGAATGCCCAACAGCTGCAGATTCAGTACCTGGCAGAAATTATCAGTGGTATTGAAGCCAAGATTTCCAAAGCGGAACAAGATTTAGGACATGCGGCAATCGAGAGCCCTGTTCATGCCGATTTTGCAGCAATTAGGCAAGTCAACGAACATGACGAAGCCAGGGCGTTGTACTGACATGTCTATTCAGCTATGTCTGGCAGGTGCTCGCCAAGCAAACTTACGCTGAAACCGAGTTAGAAGCCCTCCGCCAACTTCAAGAGCGGATATTTGGTGGAGCGCAACGGATATGGCTGGCAGTCAAACATGTTCTTTGTGATGACTCCCCGGAAGGCCATTTGCCCGAAGAAATGGAAGACATTGAAGGCCTGGACACCAAGGACCTTCTTAGCTACAGCTTCCGCGCGGTCCACGAGTCTAGGTACGGTCATCTTGCCCTGCGTGCAAACCCTGCTAACCGTTCCTAGTAACCTCTTGCGCCTCATCATGGGGACCTTACGGTTGAAGGCAGTGGCCGGTGTGCCTTTTCCTCCTCTAGAGGTGTTCAAAAAGACAGGTTACCTGACTTTTGAACAACTGGCTCAGCTGAGACATCGTGGTGCCTTCTCTACAGTCTCGTATACTTTTACGAACTGTTGCCAACTTACCCAAAATCTGAAGACTGTGTACCCTAACGCTGATGAAGAGGCTGATCTTCTTCGTGACTGGTACAAGGTAAGTAATCAAGTTTTGCTGTCGAAAGAATGGCTGCTGATCTGTCTACTTAAGGGGGCAGTAGAGTGCATCATGACCCAAGCATCGACGACTCGCCGGTCGGCAGGCATTCCATCTCTTATTGCCGCTGTTCTGTCGGCGAATGCCTCTTCTCCATCTTTCGACGAGGTCTACGGCAACCTCGAGCAAATTGGAAAGAAACCCGTAACGCAAGCTGAGACTGATGGCTCCAACCTTCCGCAAGTTCACGCCCTCAACTGCCTGAGAGAAATCTTCAGGAGTTCGCTTCTCAGTAAGCGCGCCGAGGGTTACTTGGCCAGAACGCTGCATCTTGCTTCAACCAGTCTGAAGTCTGAAGTGTAAGTTCGTCGAAATAGGCCGTGAATATGAAGATAGCAAAACTGACAAGAGGTTAGCTGGGCAATCCGCAACTGTGGCCTTCTCCTTCTGAGAGCGCTCATAGATTGTCTGCTCGGCACCGGCGAGAGCAAGGCCATCATTGAATCTGGTTGGGACGGCAACTCTGTTCGTATCTCGTACAACAAGTATCCGGAACTACCAGATATCATTCTCGGCCTTCTTGAAGCAGACGATGTCGACGCGGGGCTGGCCAACTCTGCCGCTGCGGAAGCGGTATTCCCCGCTCTTGACATCATTCGTCGTGCTGGCCCTCCAGAGGAGCACAGAGGCGAGCTGCGGAGGCGCATTGAAAACTATCTCGGCAGCAAGGTTTGGCACGTTCGTGAGATTGCTGCCAGAACCCTCTGCTCCTTCTTGTTGAGAGAGGATTGGGTGTCTGAGATTGGCAAGCTTCTTGAGCAAGCCGGCACTTCGTCCAATCGGCTCCATGGCGCTCTTCTCACAGCGAGATTTGTTATTGAACGCAAGTCAGACTTGGGCAGTGACCTAAAGACAGAAAATGCTTGGGCAGAGTCTCTTGTGGAGATTCTTGCTACCAAAAGCAAGGTCTTTGGACGCTGCCCAGAGGTGGAAGCGGGTTATCTTGAGATTCTCAATCTGCTCATCAAGCTTCAATGTCTGACCACAGACAAGCTGGCTTCCACTCTCCAGATCTCAACCAAGACCGGGAGCCCAGCTTCGGCGCTGTTGGAGATGGAGATTGCTCTCGGACTAGTCCACGAAACAGCTTCGTCCGGTGACGTTGCCGGTCTCCGCAACTACCTTGTCGAGCTGCTAGCTAGAGATGTCAACGTCGCCAGCCGAATGCTCGAAGCCATTCCAGCTGCCTTCTCCCAGGCACAGGATGACAACTCCAGGGTCCGGTCAGAGATTTGCCAGTTGTGTGTTGAGGTCTGCAGCACTTCACCTGCCCCTGAGGTCCGCGCGGTGTCACTCGCCAACCTCGGGGCGCTGATGTCGGCCATGCTCTCCAACGGTCATACTTCCGAATTGCCCTCCCTGTCCCAGCTCGACACCCTCTGGTCAGACCTCCCAAAGTGGTCCATCAACCCAGAGCTATCTTGGGCCATCACCGAAACAAGCGGCACAATAATGGCCATTCTCGCCTCTTGCCACAGAGACAACCTCCCAGACTTGGACGAAAGACTCCGTAACTGGGGTGCTCTGATTTCAGATTCTCTGCACGTCGACAATGTAAGTCCCCTTTCCCCCATCCCCTTTCTCATCACCCACTAACTGTGTGCCCCAAAGTCATTCGACACCCGCCACGCCGCCGCTTTCTCTCTGCACACCTTTTTTTCCCTCATCCCCGCCCCCCTTTTCCGAACCGCGTACCTGCCGGCCTTTTCAGCCCTCTACACAGCCCTAACAGACGACGACGACGAAATCCGCGAGGTTGCCGCGCTCGCGGTGTCCAGTCTCACGGCCCAACCGGCAACAGCAAATATCTCGTCCAAAACCCTTGTTACCTCCCTCCTCCCTTCTCACCTCCCCACTCCAGAGTTTTTTTCCCTTGCCATCTCCCATTTAACCTCTGGTAACCTCCCAGCGGAAACAAAACTCGGCAAGGCGCTCGACTTTGACGACGCGTTATTCGCAGCAGAGGAGCAGAATTTGTTTGTTGACGAGGTTAGAGAGGCGAGGGAGTGGAGGAGGGGGTTGGTGGGTGCTATTGAGGCTAACAAAAATGGGGAGAGGGTTTTGAAAGAGTGGAAGGAGTGGACTGTGCAGGGGCTGAAGGCGGTGGTGAAGGTGATGAAGGAAAAAAGAGAGGATGGACCGTTGGGGTGGACGAGCGATCAAAAGGTTTTTGCTGTTGTGGCTCGGGTTTTGATCTCTGCGAGGGGGGTGCTGGCTGTTGATGAGGGGGAGGAGGTGGAGGTGTTGTTGGGTGAGGTGGTCGAGATGGGGAGGGGGGGGTTGTTGCATGGGGGTTTGGTGGGGTTGGCCTTGGAGGAGGTTTGAGTGTAGAACAACAATCGAGGAGAAAAAAAGGGGGTTAGTGAAATCAAGATGTTCTTTTTGACAGATTGATAAGTTTCTACAGACAACAAACCTACACACAGTGAGAACTCCCTCGGAAATATATGT